CACATGTGGTAATGACATAAGCTATCATAGTTCTGCTGCCCAGCGCATTCCGGGGCAATCTCTGACCATGATCCGCAGTCTAGGTTGTGTTTTCATGATGCACGCATAATTTGTGCAATTTGCTTCCCCCACAAGCAACAAACATGCCATCTTGACTATAGCAAAAATTGAATGTGTATATATATAGCACTTTATAGCAATATCATACATTATCCAGCCTTGCGTTTGTGCCTTGTTCCAACATCTTGCGTAGGAAATTAGGAAAAGCTCTGCTTTCGAAAGGTGTGAATCAATCAGCAGGCCACTGGCTCATGCCATGACGCGCCTGCAAAATACGGGGCTTGCAAAACTTCGCAGCCACGGTACCGCATGTGCTGAAAAATGAAGTAAACGAAATCACCTTGGACCCAAGCTGGCGAGTTCATGAGCAAAACAAAAAAGCAAAAGCGCCCAGCGTTCGTGGCTCGCCTGAAAAGGAGTTACGCAGTATGAAACACTCATACACCTGCCCGAGACCTATGCGTGCTGAGACTTGCAGGCCGCTGCGACCCTGATTCAAGACAAGCCACCATTGATCCGACTGGTGGAGACTGCAAAGAATTTCTGCGCCTGGAGCAAATGGAATATTGAATAATGGAAATATATAACATAAACGTGATGCCTTTACCAAAACCAAAACACGTCCCTTTGTCTTACAATACTGTATCAAATGTCAAACATGCACTTTGTTAACCTGGTCACATTTTCCCTTCTCTGGCCTCACTGTTGTGACCACTTGCCAACAGTGCCCACGCATCCATCATTTGCTGATCCATACCTCAGTCAAAACAAACGTCGCCAACACTTTGACAAACCCGTTCAAACTTCACATATCTTCAAGCATTGCAACAACATGGCATGGGGAACCCTGCATGCAAAAGCGGGCAATGGAACTTAAATGCTTTGGCCGGGGCCGTCTACATCACGTCTACTCTCACTCTGCCAGGACTGCTACAGTAGACATTCTATGCTCGCGGCCTTTTCTGCCACTTAGGTTTCTTCAAAGTACAGAACCCGTGACCGTCCAAAGCAAGGCAGGCCAAGAACTGCAGTGTCGATTGTCGATGTACCTGCTCATATTGCCACTTTATATAGTTTCCCATAGTTTCCCAAAAAAATCTAGGAACCACATCATTAGTGCGAGCGCTTCTTCAAGGAAGCGTGAGCTATCCTTCCTCCATATGTATAGTAGCGTCCTAGTAGCAATGCAAGGAGCGAACAAGTTTGCCCGGCTTAAAAAGACTCCACCTTATTCTCCAAGGCTCGGTTCACAAACATGGAATGCTTTGGCCCAGGTGTCATACCTTGAAAAATGAAGACTGGTGTGATTTGCAGCCGTCTGAAACCTTCCAGCTCCTGAAGGTTGGCGGGAGTCCCTTCTTGCACAAACTGCGGCAACCTGATAAACTGCTGTGAAATTCGGCTAAAACCACACATCTTCTACAATGGCTGGGTGTTAGACGTTTCACGGGTACAAATTGAATAATTGTCCGCCACTTCCAGAAAGATTCAGGTTTGCATTGTTTTTCACCATGAATGAACAATTGCAGTCCTTATCCACTACGCCAAAGATGCCAGGCGGAACTCCTCCCAAAGCATCTGCAAATGGATCTTTCAGAGCCTGCCATTCTGCAAAAAAGGTCTGTGCGCACGCAGAAGCCGCACACCATGAACCTTTTTCCGCCCGAACCCACGAAGATGCCCAGGCAGGTGGTTCGAGTGTGTCACGGAGTTGAAGGACGCTCCGAATGGGACCCGAATGAAAACATGACGGACACCTGGTGAAGACAACACGTGTTGGATTTCGCTTAACATTCAATGCAGCAAAAGATAGCAAAAGTATATCTGCATCTGGTGCCCATGTCCAATGAAATCCTCTTGGCAAGTCACCCACTCCGAAACACTCGCCTGAATTGATCGGAGCCAGTGCACAGCATCGATGCCCAAGCGTTGCCCTTGCAGGGCCTGCGTCAAAGCATGCACTACGAGAAAACACCAAGTAAAGATGAATGAACATGAGGTCAGAAACGGAGTTTGCCGCCACATTCATGAATTCAAAAACATGACAATCCCCCTGGCCTCGAGCTTGCCCTGGTAGATGAGTTTTTCATCCTCAGGATATGCAGGCTCTATGTTTTCCAAAATACAGCTGGGGCCATCCTCTCTGCCTCCTCCTGTGCAGTTCTTCTGCCTGCACCTGCCTGCCGCCTTTTACTGGTATGCGTCACGCCGCACGCCTTCGATTTGAGTCGTTGCTCCCATAGAGTCAAGGTCCTAAAGTCTGCATCAAGCATTGCACTTGTACAATGTTCTAACCATCTGTGGTTCTTGTTACGACCTTCGAGACTTTTGTACAACACCACTTGCTATGGGTGAAATCGATGCTTGCAATCCGGTGGAAGCCGAAAGGCGCACAGGAAGAACCAACGCCAAAAGAAACCTCCACTTCGCTGACAAAAAACGTACAGTGTCGCTTAACAAGGAGAACGCGCCGTGGCTCCAAACTTGGAAAGTCAGCGGGGAAGCTTCGTGGGGGAGCACTGCAAAAGCCAACCTCCCAAGCATTGGACATGATGAGAGCTAACTTGAGAAGCGGGAGTTCTTGGGCCCTTTAGAAACCTGAAAGCAATCTGAAAGCACTGAGGCTTACGGAGGGAACATCTATTCTTTTTCAAGGTCAAAGTTGCCAGAATAAGGACAAACTGACCGAAAGGCCTGTGAAAGGGTCCGTGAATGCAAGCCCTTCCAGGTGTGCAAAATCAAGAGTGGCAACACTTGAAAAAGGGTCAAGTCCTTCATCCGGAGGGTCATATTTACTAGCTTCTTTCTACCAGTAGTAATGGGTGAGGGATCAAAAAAAGAAACATCAACATCACACAAATTTACTCAAAAGGGATCAAAAAGAAAAAGAACAGTATCAACAAATATTCACAGCGAAGAACAAGAGAATGGGGTAAGGACAGTAGTAGTAGTAGTAGTAGTAGTAGTAGTAGTAGTAGTAGTAGTAGTAGTAGTATTGACAATAGTAGGAGTAGGAGTAGGAGTAGTAGTAGTAGAAGAAATAGTAGTAGCAGTAGTAGTAGAATAGAAGAAGTAGTCTGTAGTAGAAGTGGTAGTAGAAAAAGTAGTAGAAGTAATAGGGGCAGTAGTAGAAGTAGTGGGAGTAGTAGGGGTAGGCACAGCGCTTCCTACTAAGCGAAAGTTTCTGCCTGTCACGCTAGGCGAAGGTGGGCCTTATCATCCACCTTTGTGGCAGCGTCAACGCAAAGAAGATGGTAGTTGTGGTAACTGTGGTAAGACTCGTAGTGGGGTGGTCGGAGTGATAGAGGTACTGGCAATAGTATTGATAGTGGACGGTAATGGGAATTATTAAAGAAAGCGGGAGGGGGTGCGAGGAATGTCGCATCGCCTCCCCCGCAATGCAAATCAAGTATAGACAGCGCTATCCACCCTTACGTCCCCTGGTCCTTAGGGCCCCTGGTCCTTTGGTCCGCTGGTCCTTCTGGTTCCCTGGTCCTTCGGTCTCCTGGTCTCTTGCTCCTTCGGTCTCTGTCCAGTGGGCACCTAGACCAAGTCCCTTGGTCTCCTAGTCCGCTGGTCTTATGGTCCTTCAGTCTTGATAACTATCTCCCTAGTAGTAGATGCTAGCTCGCTGGTCAGGGTTATTTTATTTGATACGGTTCTTTTTAATGATCATGTTATTTTTTCTTGTTGCTCCTGTTCTTATATATATTTTTTGATCCTGATGCCAGTAGTAATGGTCTTGTTACTAGTGGCGATGCCCTTGTTACTAGTAGCTTCTTGTTCCTAGTAGTAAGGCCAGGAGCCCCTAGTAGCTTCTTGTTACAGTAGCGATGCCCTTGTGACTAGCTAAGTGCTGTCCAAGACGCATGAAGATGGGACTGTAGGTGCCGAACTCGCATTGTGGGGCCCGTAGAATCGCTGCACTACATGGCGAGTCATCACCGGAAATCTGCGCGGGCTTTGGCACAATTCGGCGCGAATGCGGACTGGCATTAAGCCGCCTCTGGCGGTATTTATATTTAATACATAAATGATTTTCCTTTTTTCATATCCTCATATTGACTCATATTGCAATGGAAAGTATCTTGTGTGGCCAAAACTTTGGTTTGTGGGGACAGCATTGCACTTGGAGTCCAGGATCCAGTTTGCAAGAGCAGCACATACACTGACATAGACACACTGTGTGTGATGCTTGAACCCAAAAACAACAACCAACTTCGTCAACATCATCCCAAGGTTCTGAGCACCCCATTTGGTAGTAGTGGCAATGGCTTCAATGGTCACGAAGGACATCAACATCTGCAGTGGAACGTTCCACTTGCTGCTTTTCCCGCTTGAACTACAAAAAGGTCTTTGAAGAAATCGAATAGGGCAAGATACTATGCGGCGCAAGATTAACAAGGTCAAATGGGCCAAGAGTGAGGCCACCTCGCCCATTTGTGGAAACACGTTTCAAACAATGAGATCTCTAAGGGCTGCGGCTACTTCTCTCAGGCTGTGCTTGACAAATGAAGCCTGAGGTTTTACGGTTACGACAAACGCAAAGAATAATGCCTAGGCCTAAAGGTGGAGTCTTTCAGGCGTGCTTGTTCCTAGCAGTAAGGCCAGGAGCGCCCCTAGTAGCGTCCGATCGCTCCGATCGTAGCGATGCACCTTGTTACTAGGTAACGACACCTGCTAGTGGGCCTTTCCAGCGCAACATGCAATACAGCCCTGGTTCTGTGAAGCGTGCATTCTCGAGACTAAAGGATTGTGGGTAGGATCAGTTGCTGCTTGAAACTGGTTTCATTGAGGCTTGAGAAAACTTTACAGCGCCAGCTGCAGTTTGAAAGTGCCTTCTGCGGTGGACTACACCTCACAAACCAGCAGTATGGTATATCAATCAATGGATAGAATTGCTGCAATGATCAATCTCATGGTGGCACATGCCAAACACCTTTTTGAGTTTGCAAGCATGTGCTTCGGGCCAGCTCGTCTTACGACTTGGAAAATCACAATGACCATTGGGCTCCTCTGGCCCAACAGTGGTCGCCAAGACTAGCCTGCTGCACCTTCATCCTCGGCCTTCACCTGCAGACACACACACAAAGCAACACATTCTGTCGACTGGGCGAAGTGCTGTACAAAGATGTATAATGTATATATTTTTTTTTGTCCGGCTCTTTTGCAGCATGAACGAGTCGTGTTGGGCTCATGCCAACAACTTGCGAATGTCCTGTGACGATGTGGTGGAGCACCGTCGCCGAAGCTTCTCCGTAAGCAAGACCTGGTCGGCCTGGATCCTCGATCTCCCGTGGCACTTCAGGCACTCCACCGCATTGCCTGGTCTCATCATCTGGTGTGTTGGATGCCCCTGCCAGAGGTCACTCGTCAAAGGACCGTGGTGGCAAACTTCACCGAGGAAACGATTGAAGATGTCCTCTCCTGCTCTGGCAAGCACGTAGCTTCAGCAGCGGGAGCAGCGTAAATACGCTTTCTCCAAGCGCAGTTGGTGAGTGCCTGGCGGAGCCTCCCCTTGACTCTCCAGCAGATCATGGATGACCTCAAAACGGGTCTTCTTCTGCGTCGGAGTTGGTGCTGCCTGTGCACAAGGTGAAGTGAGGCCTTCACGAAGCTCCTTGATCAGCGATTTGGTGTGGAACCTCACTCGGCATTGGGCACACTGGACTCCAGATCTAAAGAGGTTGCAGAGGTGGCCATTTGCCTGCGGGTCTTTCACGTAGCAGGCTAGTAGGTCCTTTTTCTGCTGGACCAGAGGGACTTTGGAGTTGTCCACCACAGTGGTCTTGCTGTGCAAAAAGTGCTCTTTGCAGGTGAGGAGGATGTTCATTCTATTGCCCGCAACACTGAGAACATCTCGTGTGTCTTCATCAATGTGCTTCTGAAGATCTATGATGTCCTCCGGCCGGGCCAAGAGGGCAGTCTGAGTGGCCTTGGCCTGTGCATCACGCTGAAAGGCCTTCCTGTTGAGGTTGGAGTCCATCTCATGTCGACTGAAAAGGAGCAGACGCACCTGATCAAAGTCCTCACGCTCCAGACCCATACTGAGGTCAGGGAATTGCTCATGGGCTGCCATGAAGGACCAGTTCTTCCAGATGTTGTGCTGGAAGACCACCACGTGAACTTTGTCTCTGATGTGGAGTGAGAGGTGTTTCAAGCCATAGAACAAGGCCCGCAAGCGCGTTGCCTTTCCTGGGCAAATGCCCGTGAGGGATCCCACCCTTTCTCTGGTGAAGACCTGGTGGATGCAGATGGCAAAGACATAGCGCCGGTGACGTGGATCCTTGGAGGTGGGAGCCACAGCCAGGGACACAGCGTGTCCGGCTGGCAGGTTGCAGGCTTCCAAATCTGCCCAAAGCCCTTCTCCATTGAAAGTGGCCATGCCGCCATCAGGGATGCCATTGGTCAGGAAGGGGTTGGACACGACCTTCCCAAAAGCTGCACTCCCACAAAAGGTGTGTGAAGGTCAACTCAACTCCACAAAGAGGACACTTCCCTGTCTGCCCGTGGAGAGTGCCCTTTCTCACTGGTCATCTTTTGGAGAGTTTTGCTGACAGTCCAGTCTAACTTCCTTTCCAACTCGTGGCAGCCCTCGTACCTGGTCAGGCGCAACAGTCGTTGCCCCTGGAATTCTTCAGTCAACTTGTGCTGGATCTCAGGCCAAAGCGCCTCTAGGCTGATGGAGCAGTCAGGAATTCCTCCATAACCTGTTCTTTTCCAAAGCTCGCCGTTGGAGATGTCGAAGTCATAATCCAGCAAGTAAGCTTGGAGCGCTTGGAGAGGGCCTGTTACGACCTGCCAGCGGTGCTTGGCCTTGAGAAGGAGATCCAAGGCTGAGTTCCAACTGACCCAGAAGAGGTTCTGTGCACTGGAGTCGAAGGAGTGCAGGACTTTCCAGACCGTGTGGATGTGTTGGAGGATGATCGAATCACCAGGATCGCACTTTTCCGGATGCATGTCGAAAACGACATCCACAGAACCAGAACATTGGAGTCCAAGTCCCCGTCCGGCCAGAACACGAAGTTGTTGCCGTCGTTGTGGAGCTAGCCCATTTGCTTGAGCCCCCCACGACATCACGGGGTGGATCGCTCCTCGATGCAACCGGTACTTGGTGGCGTTGCCAAGCTTGAGTCGGAGCATGATCCCAACTCTGCCCCTGCCCTTCAAGAACCTCTTTTTGATCTGAGTGATCCTCCGGCGCCGAGAGTTGGTGGCGTCAATGCCGAGGTCTCTGAGGATGTTGTGATGTTTGGGGTCATCATCACAGAGCTGAACATCTAGGGCCTTGGCGGACTCCTTGCTGCTGGTGATGAAGCCGGTCTTTTCCGTGTTGAGCTTCAAACCCTCTGTGGCGAGGTTGGATTGCAACGCCCTGAAAGCCAAGACCGCCTCTCTGGCCACGTACTCAGGGTCCGTCCCTTTGATGTCGAAAGAGACGTCGTCAACCCAGGTCTGCAAAAGGACCGCCGGGTGGTCACGGACCAGAGCTTGAAGTGGTTGATAAAGCACCAACTTAGCAATTGCTGGAGCTTGAGGGCAGCCCTGAAGGATGCCTTTCTGGTAGTACTTTGGGCTCCCAGCAATACCCTCAGCTTGGATCATCCTGGGCCCCGAGTACAGATCCAGTGCCAGCTTGAGATGCAGTGGAGGGTAGTTGAGATCCATGGCGGGCTCAATGAGATGGTCCAGTTGCACCGTGTCATAGAAACAGGTGTGGATACCTTGATGCTTGCCAATCTCCGCTTTGAGCATGCGGCCGACCGCTATTGAGAGACAATCCTTGTGAGGGCGAGCATGATCCCAAGGCATATCCTTGTCAAGACCCAACTGCCACTTGTGGAGGTCATGCTTACGATAGCTGTTCCACAGCCTGTAGAGGCATGAGGTGAGTGCAATTGGCCGCTCAATGCGTTCACTCTTCGGGATCATCACGATGTTGGTATGCCTCATTTGTAGAGGGAGGTCAGCTTCCTTCTCCATCTCAGTGAGAAGTTGGGACAGTTTCTCCACAGCTGGGTACGGAAGGTGCCGCAGAAAATCATCGGAGATGCCATCTGGGCCAGCAACCTTGTTGGGGAGCCGTCGCGTGATCTTCTGAAGGAGGCTGGCTGGAGTCGATCGGCTTGAGCTGCAGGGCATGAGCCTGGGCCACCCGCTTCAACTCTTGGAGACCTCGAATTTGCAAAGGTGCTTCAAGGGGAATCCATATAGCTCCCCACTGCTGTTCTCTGGCCTGAGTGCGAGATGTAGGAGGAAGATCCTGAAAAGGCCTTTGCCAGGCGTGATCTTTCTGCCTGAGACTGCGGAAAAGACCTCGAAGGCCTTTGTCATGGGCCTTTTCCAACCATTCCCTGAATTCATGGTTGGTGGCACTGAGAAGCTGCTCTTGAGCAAGCTGCTGCTCTTGTTGAGCAATCTGAAGGAGCTCTTCCGAGGAGATGTTGCCACCAAAGACCCATTGCAGTAGATGTTCTTCGAAGCTGAGTTGATCAAGCTCCTTGGAGGCATGTTGCGGGATCCTCGTAGCCATGTCCTTCAGGTCCTGGAGGAGCCCCGGGTATCGGCCATGAGTGGCAAGGTTGATCTTGATGCCTAGCTTCTCCCAAAAGGCAGCACTGCCTTTCTTCCACACCCGAGGTTTGGTGGAACTGGCCAAGGGAGCTTGAAACAGGTGCACTTGTGATCCTCGTCCTGTGACTGGTTGGTGTAGATGCTGGGTGAGGTACTTCTCTGTCTGTGTGGCCCATCTCGCCAAGACCAGTGATGTTCTGGCCCAGGATGTGAAAAGGCCCATCATCCTCAGTGAAACTGGTCCAGAGATTCTTGGGGTGGTAGTTGCGCGTGACCGGAGGAAACCTCTGAAGTTGCTGAACAGGAAGTGCAGCTTGTGAACAGTCAAACTGTAGAGCCAGGGCGCAATGCGGTTTCCACGGAACTTCCCAGTTTGCTTCAAGGCGCAAGGCTGAGGCAATGGAGGTGGAAGCCAGGATGAAGTCAAGGTGACTGCCTTGCAGTGTAGTGGGGCCTGGTGGCCAAAATCTGGGCTCGAAACTTGCTTGGGATCGTGGTAGCAGCCAGGTCCTCCGGAGCCGTTTGCCAATCACCTCCAATGATGAAGGGAGCACGCAAGTGGTCTAAGAACTGCAAAAGCTGGCCCAGGAGTTCAGCATTGAGGGGAGATTGGAGAGGTTCCCCTGTTCGGAGGTAGAGCTGGATGAGGTAAAGCTCAAGACCGTCTCGTTGCATGGCCAAAGCAGTCCAACCATTGCCCTGCTTGGTGTAGGTGTGGACGTGATGAATCAAGTGTCTAGTGGCATGCAAGGTGAGGAAACCTCCAGTCGACCCCCCATTGCCAGTAGGTTCAGAAGCAACTCCATGGCACTTCCATCCTCGGCAGGTGAAGTATTGGAGCGTGGTGTCCAAGGCTTTCTGCTGGAGGTGGGTTTCTTGGAAGAGCATGATCGTGTCACCCTGAGCCCAAACCCAATCTGCCAAAGAAAGTGACGTTGCTGAAGGTGATGTTGAGGGTTTCTCGGCAGGTTTTGGGGTTTGGGCTTGTTTGGGAGGTATTCAGCCCCCTCTCTGGCTGTGTCCGTGACGAGTTCATCAGTGGGGGCAGCAGTGAGCCAGATCTGAGAAATCTCCTTCCGCTGCTGAGAGCTGAGATGTGGCAGTGGGGTTGGAAAGGTTCCATCATCTGCAAGCCAGTAGACGTTGTTGATGGCCAAAATGGACTGGTAATGACCATTCTCGTGGGACATGCCTTGGTGTAGAACTAGGCCCACAACCTGGTAGGTGGCCAAGTGGACGTTGAGGCCGTCCTCTGAGAAAGGCAGGCTGACCTTGTTGTGTAGTTCCAACTCCCTGTGGTGTTTGGTCCAAGTTCCTTCTTGCAAAGTGGAGCGCTGGAGGTTGAGAACCACTCCACCTGGGGACCCATATAGAAATTGTCCTCGAGCTTCGTTGGCCCATTGGGTGATCAAGGAGTCCAAAGTTTGAGGACCTTCACCATCAGGGAAAATAAGGTTCAAGGGGAACTGTTCCCGCTCTTCAGTGTGGCCTCGTTCGCTGCGGTGGAAGAACCTACCAGCGAAGAAAGAGCTTCCGGAAAAGGTCCACAGAGCATGGAGGAAGTCGACAGCATCCGCCTGCTCGTCCTGCTCAAATTGTGCCCATATGTGGTGCATGTTCTGCAGACCGGTCAGCAGCTGGGGTTCACTGTCCGAGAGGTATTGTCGAACCGCTTGGCCTGGGTTACATCATCTGCAAAAGCCCCAGTCCAGCGCCAGCACCTCCAGGGTGCATTTCCAAGATGCTGATGAGGCATTGAGAGATAATGAAAATGTTTGCCACCGAGTGTTCAACTTCCCCTGGAACACTAAGATGGCGTTGGATGAGGTTTTGCATCCTCTTCAAGTCCATGAGGAGCTGCTGTCCTCCATGTAGAGTGGGACTTCGACCGTAGTGTTGACAAGATGTGAGCAAATCATTGCTGCAAAGATCAAACAAAGTCTGCTGCTCAAAAGAGAGGGAGGTGTCAGTGTCAACCTCCATGCTGAGGAGTTTTGCCAGTGATTGAACAGCCAAGGTCCCGAAAGTAACAGTCTCCCGTGGGAGCTGTTCAGAGGTAGAAGTGCTCGGTGCCTCGGCAGTTCGTCTGGCCTGTGGCTCAAATGAGGTTTGAGCTCCCCCAAAAACCTTGAGCTTCGTCAAGGAGTGGCGGCAAGGGCCATAGCCCGTGCCCGGCGAAGAAAGGCCCAAGCTTGAGCCTGGAAGCAAAGGATCAACTGTGGAGGCAATGCCCCTGCGTGCCAGTTGTGAAAGCCCCAAGTCATGAGCTGAGTTGCACGACGAAAGTCCCCAATCAAAAACCGAAGTCAATTGAGTGGAATGTGAGGGCAAAGGGCTACCCGCACGACGCTGCATTGCCAAGCTCAGTCTTACGTCGTTTGGCTTCTTCATCAGTGACTGCTGCTTCAACCGAAGGACGTTTGAGCATGACTTGCAGCTGCTCTTTTTGTTCCTGGGTCAGGCTGACTCCCAGTGTGTTGATAAAGCCAGCAACTGCAGCCGGCACTGAATCCTCCATCTCGGTTTCGAGAGGTTGAAGGGGCTTTTCAGCCTGAATGGAACTGACCTTGGTGAGATAGGCCGTGCTAATGGTGTTCAGAATTGCCTGCTCCTGCTCAAGTCTGCTTTGCAGTGTCTTCATTTCGTCAAGGAGCTCTTGGTAGTGCTTCTTGGTGTTGTCAATCTTCTGCTGGAGGAGTTGTTTCTTCTGAGACATGTCCCGGAGCGTGGTGACCTGTTGTTTGAGTCGGGATACCATGTCCTTTTCGGTCTCTGGCTGAGGTTTGGTGATCTTCTCAACCAGTTCCTTGACCGGGGCCGGGAGGCTGGCAAGGTTCTCCTTGAGAACGTTGGTCAAGTCCGGCTCACTGACCTTGGGTGAAGGGTTGATGCCAACCTCTGCGAGTTTCACCTTCAAGGTCTCGTCCAAGGTGTCCCAGGCCGGGGCCAGAATCTCTGAAGCTGTCTTCTGAAGCTTGGAGGGCCGAGGTGGCCTGCTTGAGGATAACCCCGGTGGAGGTGTCACCTGTCGTGTCCTTGGCTTGGTCCAGCTTGGGGATCTCCTTTCCCCCGCTTTGGCAAAGCCTTGGATGGGCTTCGTCCACGGTGTCCCGCACAGCCGGCAGGTGTAGTTGGGCTGGATGCGGTCTTCCCAAATCCAATTGCTGCAGCTGGCCTTGCCGCAACATTGGTAGGCCCTCGTGGCTCTGATGCCAGGTGCCGAGGAGCTCAGGGAAGGCGGTCAGCACGAGGACGCGTAGTGGGGATGTTGCTCCACTGCCGTTGAGAAAGTCCCTGAAAGGAGATAGGAGCTGAGACTTGAGCAGAAATGGCTTGAGCCGATATCTTGAGCCAAAATGGCTTGAGCCATGTATAATGTATATCTGTTTAATGTATATAACTCAACTTTCTTTGCCGGAACGGCCTGCATGCCTTCAGCTTGGTATGCGTTTGATTTGTGCTTGGGAACCTGAAGGTCCAGTCCAACGCAGTTCTCTCTCAGTAACTGCCGTCTCCGACAGGACCATGGATCAGGGCAGGGGTCCAGGGCAGAATGTCCTCTTTCAATAGGAAACAGTGCGACGTTCTCCCGTGGCTGGTGCTTTGGGTTTCTACCTGGTTGGAGTGTCGGTCTTGCACTGCACGCGTCGAAACCGAGGGCTCTGCAAATGAAAAACCATCCGGGACCTCGGCAGTGCAATCGATGAGACAATGACACCACTCGGTTGGCGAGAACACAATTTCTGTATAAAACAGTTAAACCATGTTAAACCAATTTGATCCTTCATGCATCTTCATGCCTTGCCCAGCATCATCTCTGTTATCTCGACCCAATCCTGCAATCTGTGAAGGGTTGCTGCACCGTACTCGAAAACAATACTCGACTTCGTGAGCGGATATATAATTGGCAGTAGGTACGCGACAATCTTTCTACACTTGCACATATTCCAGAATCTCACTGTAAAGAAACTCCGTTTCTTAAAATGCTGCATGTTTCCCTGGAGCGTCCTTTGAGTTTGTGGAAGCGAGTTTCGTCTCCAAGTCATTTCGGCCAACATAGGGTCGCGGACGCCAATTGATCTTTGCTTCTTGTACCTTTCTTGGTCACATTTGGGATTGAGAACAAAAAAGAGCTCCCAGCCTCCAGTAGCCCAATAGGAACATAGCCTGAAGTTGTGAAGAGTATGGAAACTTTCCCGAAGCAATCCCGCAATTCTTGTGCATGCTTGCAACAATTCTGAATGTGCAGCGAGCAACGACAGGTGAAGGACAACCATTCCAACAAAAATCGCCGGGTGGTCTCGACACCTCTCGAATCTGCACCCCAGTGCCTCAAGTCCACAAGCTGAAACCAAATCATCAAGCAGTGAACAACCTTGATCTTCCGGCTTGAAAGGCATGCAATCAGTGAGGCTAGTGGTCTGATGGGCAGCGAAACAATATATGTATATATATATATACAGCGGAGAAATAGAGTTATGTTCTGTGTTTTTTTCTTGAGGTGATTTTTGTTGGGTAGGCAAGCTAGGCCCTCTAAACAACGACTGGTCGTTCGGAGCAAACGAGGCATGCTTGCTGATTTCTTAGTGCCATAACTCGTTCGAGATCCTTTTAAGGACATTGTAAACCTATGCATAATATACATAAATATAAAAAAAATATGATCTGAAGCTGGAAGGTTCTGTAGGTGATCCAGTCACCCTAGGCTTTGATCGCAAGAATAGCAGTTGGCTAGCAAGCGAGGCACAGCAGTTGGTCGATGATAGGTCGTAAGGCCTAAGGTCAGTGGGATGAAAGCCCTCACAAGACCTGGAAACAGGCGCAACATGCACAAAAACTAAATCACGACCAAGAATCGACCAACCATGTTGATCACTTTAGAAGTCATTCTTCTCGGACGAGCAGCTAAAACATGCTAGACGTGTTGGAGGTAGGGCCACATGTTTACTTACACCATGTTGCGCATTGCCAAAACCATATCAGGAATCCAAACCAGCGGGCTTCGAAGGAGCCCAAATGTAGGGATCAAAAAAACAACCAGAAAGGAAGGCCATTGAAGGAATAGAAGCTTGGGAAACGATGCCTTCTGGACTGGAAAGTTCACAAGGATCAGTCACGAAGAGCGGTTCTGCCAGAGAGGGGATGAGGATAAGAGACAAACTTGGGCAATCTTCTGAGCGTCGACGAGGGACTAAAGAAGGACAAATGCTAAGGAAGGCTAGGAAAGGATAAGGAAGAAATGAAAGGGTAGCAGGCAAGCTACTAGTTCGTAAGGAAAGCTACTGGCAACAAGGGAAGACACCTGTTCAAGACGAGCGCTATGGCACATCAAACATTGCGCCTGTTTGAAGCGCTGACGGAAGTTGAGCAAGGTCTCCCTGCAGAGAACGCCCATAGAAGGAAATTCCGCCCACACCGATGGTGCTGAGGGCGTTGTGGAGGCTCGCGTCAACAGCAGCCGGAAGAGCTCTGCTAGATTAAGTCTTAAGCTTTAGGCCGTGTTTTTTTGGGAAGTGCTGTGCTTTGCAGTGTTTTTGGAAGATTGATAAAAGTGGATCTGGCTTTGGGGCACGTTGGCGATGCCGGTTATTGCGAACGGAGAAGATCGCGTTATCGACATCGCGGACGCATGCGCAACCCCGGGGATACTGCATTATTGACATGGTGGGTGTGTTCGGCCGTTTGTCCTGCCCGACCGAGACACAGACTGACAGACCGAGATGGGCAGACCGAGACAAACGCACCAAGACAGACGGACCGAAACAGATAGACCGAGACAAGCCGACCGAGACAGATTGACCGAAACAAACAGACCAAACAAACAGGCCAATACCGAGACAGACTGAGACGGAGACTATCAGACCGAGCATAGCGAAAGGCTTCTTCACGCTTGAGCCCGGTTAACATTTCCTCCTGGCTCCGAAAGCACAAGTTGCTAGTTCCCGGCTCCGCGAGCGCAGGTTGCTTCCGCGCCAGTAGGGCGCTAATGGCACTTTTCCCATGTATGTCTGGATGTATGTACGCATGTATGTATGTCTGTGTGCATGGATGGATGTCTATGTCTGTCTGTGTGTGTGTCAGCCCCTGTTCCAAAGGGTGCGACCTTCCTTCGAGACAAGCAGGGGGCCAGCGCATGACATCACGACGCTGGCCAACGAAGCCAGTGATGTCATGGGATGCGGTCAGAGACGTCTGACCGTGTACCTGCCAAGAAACTGTTGCTCACGCTGTCCAATTTTTCTTCTTTGTTTCCATGGTGGTTCCATGCTACTCTCCCCAAAACCTTAGTCTCAGCAGCCACACCGCGCCGCTCATTTCGCCACCGCTGAGCTCTGCAGACTTGAGAAACAGCCTTTGTTCAAATACCTACAATTTTTCGGACCTTTCACCTTGCCGTTCCATCACCTTCCTTCTCATCGTGGGAATTGAGTTAACAGCAAACCAATGTCAGAGTGTGAGCCGCTCAGCCGTCCCACTTGGGTGCTGGGTGTGATCCCCTTCACTGGGGCGCTGAATTCACGCTGGAAATCATTTTCTCCACTTTTATAGCTGAATTCACTTTCTCCACTTGTATATCTGAATTAACTGATCCAACAGCCGTCGGGCTTAAAAACGAATTTGACAGCCGCCGGGCTTAAAAACGGAATTCACCCCACTTGAGGCAGGTCTCCCGACCCCCCCCCACTGTGTTCTACTCCCTACCTAATTAGGGCAACATAGGGAAATGGTACTCGACACACTTGTGCGTCGGCGCCTTTCCCTCTGTTGTCCCTTTTCTAATCTACCCTACCCGGGCGGTTTAAGACTAAAGTCCCGCTCCCTAACTATTGCACTGTAATTCGTTTCTGCTAAGTAGTCGGTAACACTAGAGTGCTAAGTATTCAGACACACACACACACACGCACACACACATGGACATACACCCCCTCCCTGCCCCCCTTTTCCTTCTTGCGCTTTTCGTCGTTTGTTGGGCTTTCTCTCAGGCTTTTAGGTGGCTCTTGAGGCTCGTTTCCCTAACCCAGTCAAGGGCTAAGTATTCATTTTTCCATTTTTCTACACTTATCGTTCTCTCTTGCCCTCTTTGCGCTGCTCTTTCTGTCTTTCTTTCTTTTGTTTCTAAGGCTTTTTAGGTATCTATTCAGGTTTCTCACGCGAGCGCCGCCAAGCGGCACCGTGTGTGTGTCAACCCCTGTTCCAAAGGGTGCGACCTTCCTTCGAGACAAGGAGGGGGCCAGCGCATGACATCACGACGCTGGCCAACGAAGCTAGTGATGTCATGGGATGCGGTCAGAGACGTCTGACCGTGTACCTGCCAAGAAACTGTTGCTCACGCTGTCCAATTTTTCTTCTTTGTTTCCATGGTGGTTCCATGCTACTCTCCCCAAAACCTTAGTCTCAGCAGCCACACCGCGCCGCTCATTTCGCCACCGCTGAGCTCTGCAGACTTGAGAAACAGCCTTTGTTCAAACATATGCTTCGTTCAAAAGGTTGGTGGAAGATGGACTAGAAAAGTGATGGGTTCATATGGGTTCCTGAATTTGCATGGAAACTATATACCCCACTGATCCACTGACCGAAGACGAAGATATGAGCTCAGATCTTTTGAAGACTTGCTGTCGGAAGGGTAAGGTATGGTTGGTCGAAATGGCCACGGAGGCTGTTGTCGATGAAACCCATCATGGTTGTGGTCAGTGCCGCGCTTGATCATAGTTGCTGCGATTGGCCTCTTTCCTTCACTGTTTCAGTCCTGTTCCGTTGATTTAAAGTATACCTGTAGCGAGTGGCATGGGTTGGGCGGTTGAGAGGTGGGGTCATTATTGAAATCTATTGGAACCGTGCAAACGAGCAACATCGTTCAACTCCTTCCCGATTAACTTGCAAATTGCACTAATAAAACGAAGGGTTTCACAAGCAAATGCCAACTCCATCGCAAATGTAATGATTGGGTTCCCAGCCCCACATAGACTCTTGAGACAAAAAGCGACAAGAATCATGCAATGTTTTCTTGTTTCTCTTTAGACGGTTCTCTTTCCCTTCCTTTTTTGTAATTATTAGAAGCCATTGACTTGTGACTCGGCCACAAACTTGCGACATGGCCAGTGTTGTCACTGGTTTCATTCAGGGCCACTTAAAAATCTTTTTGACGCGTCACATCGTATCCCAATTGCGAGCTGGCGAGCTGTCATGGTGCTTGCATGTTTTTACTCCCATCTCAAATTTGACAAGACTGAGAACAGCACTCAAGGCCATACCGAGAGAAATCGCGTATCAAATCCTCGATCAATGTCTTCACCAAACACATTGAACGCAGTCAAGATTTCTTCCTACATGTTGAACAACTTTTCGTGGTTTCATCACCAAGATTCCAAGCGCTCAGAAGCGGAGATGTCCCAATGTCTCTTCTCTTTGATTTCCTAAGTGGTCAAGCAAACAAACACGTGCCGCAATCATAACAGCGTAGCAGCGGTTGGGTCAAACAGGAGACATCCTACACACCACCGCAAGAGAACACCTGCAAAAACCTACAGCCAAACGCGTTGCATGCAAACCCAAAACACCTGGCGCGATTGCGGTTTTGTGGCCCACAAACCTTCTCAGCACGTATACTCCCAGCAACTCTCCGCTGCCAAACTTCAACGCACTCACGAACAATTGAGCAAACTTAAATACTGCAGGAGCTTGTAACATTTCATCAACATCAAGTGCCAAATGGTGTTGCGGATGTTGAGGTCAAATCTTGCAACTGGGTACGTGATCACATTGAGCAAGGAGATCATCAATGTTCTAAGACAATTGCATTTTTGTTGCAAACCATTTTGACATCTTTCTTTGTGCGTCTTGGAGAGATTTGATGGTTACATTTCAACCTCCGGTTGTTCTCACGTTCACGTCACAAAAAAACATGCCAATGACTGAAATTACCAGTCCTGCTTCGTCAAGTGTGCCTGTTCGCCAACCATGCGCGAAACGCAAACACGAATATATACTGTCAATGAAAGGGCCCCTCAGTTGATCCTGCTGTTCGCTCGCCATATAGGCACAAGGGTTTTCTTGAGGTAAAAGGACCGCGTGAGCCGGTGCTGTGCTCCGTGAGCATAGCTTCTAGGGTGGAGCCTATTTGGTGGACTTTGTGAAGTCGTAGATCTTTGTGGTCTCCTTGGGTGGCTCTTGGGGTTCTACTTGGGGTAGGTGGAGGACGCTATGCCTTCGCCTGGCGCTGCTGGGGTTGATGAACCAGAAGGCGATGAAAGAGATCATGCTGAAGAACGAGAAGAAGCAGGATCACAGAGGACCTCAGAACGGTCCTGACAACGGAGAGAGTGGTCAGAAGCCGAGTGGAAACAATGGAATAGCTTCTATGCATGGGGGGCAGCTCCTAGCGGCGGCGGTGGCTCAACTCGGGGTATGAGCCGGGGCCATCTTCATCGATAGAGGGGTCAGCCGCTCCTACGGTTCCTCATGGCTTCCAGGGAGACCCTTGGTGGACCTCACAAGGTGGAGACGTTGGCAAGAAGGTGACGACCGTCGCAATGGTGGTGGCGCTCACGACAAAATCCAGGCGCCGGAGCATTCAGGAGAAGATGACCGTGATGGCTTGAAGGCAAAGGGGTACATCAGGAAGGTCGAGGCCTGGAGGAGGGTGACACGCCTTTCTCGAGGAAAGCAAGCTCTCATGCTGTACAACAGCCTTTCAGGTCGAGCTTGGAGAGACGCTGAGGAGCTACCTCTCACTGCTCCACGCCGAGAATGGAGTCGAGATCTTCCTCTCCTGGATCAAGGACAAGTACATGGACAGGGAAGTCACGAAGGTGGGGCGCTACGTGTCTGACTTCTTCAAGGTGCTCAAGAAAGCCGGGACATCTGTGACTTCAACCAGGAGTTTGACCGACAGGTGAGCCGGTTGAAAGAACTGGGGTGCACTTTGCCAGACACCTGCCTCGCCTGGTGGTATGTGGACAAGGGGAGATCAGTGTTCCTCACGTTCCAGATGGGCTGGACGTTGGCTGCAGGAGACATTGAAGCAGCTTTCCTCAATGGTGTGGAGGCTCGGCGCGACTTGTTCCTTGAACCGCCTGCACCTGACTTGGAGGGTGTTGAGCCTAGAGGTCTCATAGAGATCATAAAAGGAGTTTTTGGACTCTCCACATCACCACGGTTATGGTGGGACAAACTGGCGCAGACCATGTTGGATGTGGTCGTTGAGAACCACTAGGGCACTTTCCATTTGGTTCAGCACCACCTGGACAATTGCCTCCTGCTCGTGGACAAGGAAGGAAATCTTCATGGCCTACTGGCCAGCCGCGTGGACGACATTTTGATCACAGCCCCTACACCCATACGGAAGGCATTGGAGCAAGCTCTATCGGAAGTCTTCCCGATCGATGCATGGGAAGAAGCCACAAATGGGTTGGAATACTGTGGAGTGTCCGTCTTCCAGGACGACCAACAAGTATTGCTCAGCCAAGAGCACTATGTGAACACCCGCCTGCAGACAGTGGACATCCCAAAAGGAGCACTCCCTTAGCAAATGGCGGACGAGGTGGCCAAGATGGACAACCAATCCACCATTGGAGCTCTGTCATGGCCGGCGTCCCAAACAAGGCCAGACACTCAGGTGGGAGTATCCATGGCCCAAAGGCGACAGAAGGCTCCCTAAAGCTCCCACATATGAAGACATCAAAGGTGGCCTATTCAAAGTTGGGTGGGTGGGGTGATCTGGTCATCATCATTTATCACGATGCAGCTTGGGCCAATGTTCCGAACGAGATGGACCATGAGGACTTCAACGGGACCAAGGACACCAGCATCTACTCCCAGCTGGGGTATGTGGTGGTGATCGCCCATAAGGACACGCTCCTGGGGAAGCCTGGGAAGGTTTGCTGGCTACGTGGAAGTCACACGCTTGGTGGAGGGTGTGCCGGAGCACCTTTGCCTCTGAGACCATGGCAGCTCTTGAGGGATGGGAAGCTGGGATCGCTTTTCGTGACCTTCTACACGGCTGTTTTCCAGCTGGGTGTCCGGCGGCCTTCAAAGCTTTGAAGTGGATCCCGACTACACACCAGCTGGCCGATTGCCTGACCAAGGTGATCACAAAGGGAGGCTGGTGGGACCACTTGAGATCGTTGACACGAGCAGGATCAACTGTATAGAGAGGGAGTGTCAATGAAAGGGCCCCTCAGTTGATCCTGCTGTTCGCTCGCCATATAGGCACAAGGGTTTTCTTGAGGTAAAAGGACCGCGCCCCTTCCAGTTTATATATACAGTATATTTTTGTTATTGTGTACTGTATATATATATATAGGTATGTGCACGGCCTCACTGCTCAAGTCCATAGGGGGTAAAGACTCTGTACACGCCCCGAAATACACTCCCTGAAATACTGAAGGAAATGGTAGCCGGTTTGTGTCGTTATCCTTCGCCATCCCGACTACGATTCACGGCAGCTTCAGGCGGTGGCCTTCATGCAGAACATGTGTCCTCTTGTACAGTTTGATTGCGGGTTTGCAAGTAAGAGAGAGCGAGAGAGAGAGAGAGAGAGAAAGAGAGAGAGAGAGAGAGAGAAGGATTGGATGAGGAAATTGAGGGCCATCGGTGGACCATCAGTGCCACTTCGTTTGGATGCAAACGGTGCTGGGCCAAGATTCCTTTGAGAAGCGGCAAGGCTGCATTGACCTCGATGCAGCAAAGTGTGTGCCTCTACGGTCCGAAAACGGAAGCGGAGTTGGGTCTTCGCAGCAGGGTTCACACCACCCATGAGATTTGGAGACGTGGAGCATGGTTGGAATGCAAGAGATGTGGGCGCACCACCAAGGAGATCCAAGGCAAGGTCCAAACGTGGCTGTCCCAACTGTGCCAAAAAGGAGGAGGACAAAGAACCTTGCAATTTGTGCAGCACAGCTCTGAGAGTTGATGGGACACAAGATCGGGCATCCAGCTCTAGACTTTGAAAGGATTGATGTCCAGCTGGATGGCTGTATAGGAGACCTTTCTGATGATGCTCCGTGAGGGAGCCTGGACTGCAAGGAGAATGAGCCTTGGTCCAGAGGAGTGTACAATAGGCCACTTTTGCCGTGGAGGTGTGGCCGGTGAGACTTGGCAGCTCGAAAAGAACCGAGAAAAAAAAAAAGAGAGAGAGAGCAGTCAAAGTGCACAAGGACAGCCCAGTGAAGCGACGGTTGCTATCCTTCGCTTCACAATCAAAGCAGCTTCTTGTTACCAGGAGCAATGGCCTCCAACCTACTTGCGATGGCCTCCACCTAATAGCGTCCTTGCTACCAGTAGCAGTTCATCTAGTTTATTTCGATTGAGTCGTTGCCAGGTCACATCATCCTGACATTTGGGACGTCGAACAAATCAGAAACCATTGTCGTGGCTGCGGAGGGTTGGCAAAGAGTCTGTCGCACAGTTCTATAGGGGAATGGAATCTTAAGATATCTTAAGTGCAATTGTTAGGGGAAACACGAAGACAAACAGTACTGTAGACATTTCTAGGGAGAAAAGTGTATTTCTAGAGCATGTGCATACGAGGAGCTTGTAGGCAAAAATTGCCAGTCGTGACATATTATTTTCTCAGCAGTCAGTGGAGCTTGGGAAAGTGGTCAAAAATGGTCCAAACATGCAAAAAAAGTCACCAACATGCAAACAAATGCCCTAATTCCTAATGTAATCTAGCACGAATCTAGCGTGCTATCAGTGCCTCAGGCTACCAAAACGGCTTTGCCAGCAGAGGTTTGCGTCCACTGTTTCTCCCTTTCAGTTTGCACGAAACTGGCCTGCAATTTCTGGATTGGCTGGAAGTATGGATGTGGTCGGTGGGTGACTGGGTGGTTGGCTGCCTGCCTGGGGCTTTGACATAAAGGCTGTGGCTACGCTTGCAACGCAGTTTCAATTCTATCTTAACTATACTTCAACCTAGTGCCAAGCCAACCTAGTACAAGCCTGACACAATGCTGCATGTTGTTGTTAGTGCGGCGCGGCAATCATGCGCAGCTAGCAGTGGCCCGGCGATTCTGCACCCTGGGAGGCCTCCTTACTAAAATTCTGAATGTCTTCTCTTTTGTTCTGACTCCCTTGTGTTTGTATGCTCGAACTGCCTTTCCTTTCGACGTGGTTCTTTTAGCAGGATATTAAAAAGATATTACTAAAAAAACATAAATGGAAGGACACTCTACCGTCGTACACACATTGTACACATCGCATACACCCCGAGCAGCACAACTTGCTGCCCAAGTCTCCGTGAACAGCCATGGTTTTATCAGTGCACCACGTCCAACCATGACAGAATCAACTCCATGCATCGCACCTGCCAGGATTTCAGAATGGCTTCCACGGTCCACAATTCATAGCGCCAAGGAACAATGTTGCTCAACTTCCTCCCAATTCATTGCATCTCCGCAGCCTCCATTTTTCAGGGCACAGGGCAACTTAGGCAAAGCATGTGAACCACATCTGCACACGTTTTATGCTCAAAGGCAGAAGTGGCCCGAAGAATGCGCAGTCCGATGCCAACAGCGAACTCTGCAATTAGGTCACGCACACCACGCGCTCAGCACTTGCGTGCAAAGTCTGCTCCGGCGTACATGCTGGCATGCTGTTCCAAATCTGAAGCAGGCTTGGCGGAAGATGTGGGATCCATGTTCCAGTCCTTGTTGGAGGTTCCACACTGGTGACTCGCACCAGGTTCAACAAAACCAAACACACTTCTTCTTCTTCTTTAAAAAACCACTCCAGTCCAACGACCACGCGTCAGCGATCGAATGGCTTCGAAGGAACAGCCGCTACCCTTTTTCCTGTTGGGCGGCTTGTGCACGAAAAGCAGCTAGATACTGCACGTGAACAGCGAATATGTTCATGCCATGTCAAGAGAGCATCCACACACACAATCGGATGTAAGTGCAGAAGGCCGCTAAGGTGGGCAGCAAAACTGCTGGCCCAAGCTTTTTGGATCCACAACTCCATCCCTTTGTTGTTTCTTGGTAATTACCACTTATGAGTATTCATTCATCCTACCTACCAAATTAAAAACATAAAATAATACAAGAGGCGCTGAGATGCACAAAGGCAAGCAACAGGTTCTCTGGAAAATGAACCCCTTCCCCAACAAGAGGGTGTATATTACATCGACCCCAAACAGCAGCGGTAGCTTGATGTTTCTTTTTGCTGATTGTAACGATTTAGATCCAGGAAGAAAAGCCATGGAAGACAAAGGGTTAAATGGATGAACTCATCTTGGCCCAGGATCGTTTCTATGCAACACTTGAGAACCCCTCACAGCAAAGCTGTTTGGGAAAAAAACTTTATTGTGGTGCTGCACACCCTTAGGCCCTTATGTCCTGGAGAAAATGGGCAGGGGGATTTAGATTGCTCAAATCTACAACAACACTTGCGCGCAGCGCAGAACACCAGTAAACAGTAGTAAACAGCGCAGTTATCGCACTGTATCATCTGCACGCTGGCCTATAAACGGGGTTTGGCACCGTCTTCGACTGCTGCACCTTACGGCTCTTCAAGTAGAAAACCAAAACAATTGGATACATTTGGTAATTGCATCTAGGAGTCTATGATAGTCTATGACTTCTATGTATGTAGTTTAGTCATGTTTAGTCTGGACCTTCTTCAACTGAAATCCGTCGCTGTTTGGAGCACTCCTTGATGTAGTCCCAGTCTGCCAGCTTTGTGTAGCGCTGTCGAGCTGTTCGCCCGTGCAGCACCAGGGCACTAACTCCCCAGCCCTGCAAACACAAACACAAACACACTCTGCAAATCTCTGCAAGAACTGTTTGGTAATTCTTGCTCCTCCAATTTTGGGACGAGGTTATGAGCATAGCGGCCATTAAAATCTTTCACTTTGTTGTCCTGCAAAAAGGACGCATTTTGATGTTTAAATGATGCTCAAGAAACATTGCATGCGGTCAAGACACCTCCATGTGCGCCGTTCGCATCTTCAAAGTCAGGGCTTTAGTCTTCAATACACCTGACCTGCGTAGAAAGCAAGGCCTGGTCTCTCCCGAAGCTGAAAAAAGGAGTCTGCGATTAGACCAGACCCATTGCTGACGAGCAACATGCATCTGACAATGCCTTCTAGATGGGCTGCTTTTGCCATCAACCTGTTCAACCACTGTTTCCACAACACGATCCCTCAAGAGACTCAAGAGCTTTTCACACGCCACACAGCCTGGAACCAGCCCCTCGACGATGAACCTGGAAGGACACTCTTTCGTTTTCCAAGCCGAAGGATGCCGAAGGAAAGAAAGAAAATCGTAGCGTCCTCTTGTTCCTAGTAGCGATGCCCGGATCCTAGTAGCGTCCTCTTGTTCCTAGTAGCGATGCCCGGGATCCTAGTAGCGTCCTCTTGTTCCTAGTAGCGATGCCCGGGATCCTAGTAGCGTCCTCTTGTTCCTAGTAGTAGGGCCAGGAGCCCCCAGTAGCGTCCACTTGAAAACAATGGATAACAGATCGTAAGACAAACATTGCCTCGTCAAGAGGGCAGCCACAATTGATGTCGACAAAATCGCAGTCAACCCGTTCATCAATAAACTGCGCTGCCTCATTGCCCCCAAAGCCACCTGTCTCCCACGTTTGCTGGAAGATCAAACAGCCAAAGGAACTTTCATCCATTCCGGGTATGAACAAACCTTTCAAACGGAGCCAAGCTGCTTTTGACATAACAGCAACATCGCCACCGGCAATTTGAACCCCGAAGCATTTCTCGGATTCGTGGCGGCGCAATAGTGCAAGCTCACTTTGAAGACCTCGTGGACATATCAAAGCTCTGACTTGCAGATTCACAGACTGAAAATGACTGAAATACCGACAAAGTACTGTAAAGGCCGATGAATGAATACTACAGCAGTTGACCCGTAACACTGCCTGAGGCACCGCAATTCGTGAAAAGTCTTTGCACGATCTGTCTGAATGGGAACCCTTTTTTTAGGCTCAGTGCCATCAACAATTGACAAGGACAAAGCCATTTCGCCCACAGTCACCTCATACAAAGCACAATCCAATCATAGAACATACTTGGAATACCTTGCTTTTCTCTGCAATGAACAAACAAACAGCACTCGGCCTCACATCCCAAACCAACGCAAAGGCGACGAAAGGGCAGGTTTCCGACTGTGGTAAGAGGCGCCAGAATACTGCACAGGCGCGATCGTCATTCCACATGTCTGAATGGGCTGTCAATGACCGTCTTGCTAATAAAACATCCAGCCTCTTGTTTCTCAGGTCAATGCGACGCCTTTCTTTCTCTACTAGAGGCCCCAAGAAACGCGCTGAATCTGTGGGCCTTGGCAAAAAAAAGGGCCACGCGCCCAGGGAGTTCACAAGGATGGCTGGAACATTCAGCTCCGGAACCATCAAGAAACTGTTTTTCTATCTTTGCTTCACGTTGAAATTAAATCGAAAAACGAGCATCTTTGGTCTCCGGCAAGGAATATCGTTCATCGTTCTCTGCAGCATCTTTGGGCCGCTGAGAATGCCAACGATCCCAAGCCTCTGTGACCACTTTGCGGCAAAATAACACCGCTTATTGGATCTTGTCAGCTTATCTGTCCAAGAGCAAAAAATGACAACATGACCCTAGGTAATGGAAAAGCGACTCTGTTTGAGTCATCATAGGGGAAATCTCCTAGTAGTAAGGCCAGGAGCCCCTAGTAGCGATGCCAGGAGCCCGTAGTAGCGTCCTTGACTCCACACAACTTGCACCGAACGCCTTCTGTAACTTTGGTTCCTCTGCGCGTGCAGGCCTTGGCCAGGTCCTCTGCTCGGGAGAAGTCGTAAGTCTTCTTCCGAAGAGATATTCGCAAATCCTGCCAGCTTCTATTTTTCACCAGGCATTCTTTCTTAAAGAGAGCGGGGGACTGTGAGAGTGCAGTTTTTCTTTTTAAACGTGTTTGGTATCATTTGATGCTCAAGATATGCAAAGATGTTTGTTTTCACTCCAGGGCAGAAGATACCACTCTACTCTAACATGGGGCCTGGGCTTTGGTTTTCCCAACATTTTAGGTAAATGCTTCAGTGGTAGCCCCTCTCCATATAAACACATATATATATATAATCTGTTCCTGCTCTCTCTATATTATGTATTCCTGAATCAGGGTCATTTTATTGTTTTGGAAGCAGCAAGCAGTCATTCAAATGGTTTTGAACAAAATAATTAGGAAAGAAACAGGCCATAAAAGTGTCTCTAGATCGCTGCTTATAATTATGTTTACATTTGGACAGATTTTATATAGACGCGTTTATGTTTCGCAAGATTCTCTATAGATCTCTGCAGATAATCATTTTTAGATTTAAACAACTATATAGAAACCTTGTATGTTAAAAGCTTTATTCTAGATTTCTGCGGGTAAGAGCTTGCATTTTCAAAGTTTTCCTCTGGATCTTTGGGAAAGTAGATATCCCATATATGTGTGTTTTCATGAAATGAAAGCTCTTGAAATAATACCCTATTTATTGACATATAGCATGTTTAAATTGACATGATCATTTCCAGAGATCCAGAGGAAAGCTTTTGAAATGAAAGCTTTTATATATTTTATTGTAGAAATGATCATCCACAGAGATCTAGAGGGAAGCTCTTGAATTAGAAGCTTGTACATAAAACAAATTTAATATGTCTATATTATTTCCAGAGATTACTGCAAATAAACAAAATCTAACTATTTACGTCAAAAAAGAGTTTTAGTCTTGTTCCCAGCACTCCCAGGGCACAAAAATACTGTAAAACACGGGGTTTTGTAGCATGTGTTTTCTTAAACTAAATAGACTAGAGCTAGAATAGAATTAGGTAGAATTAAATTGGAATTGAGTTAGAGCTAAGATAGAACTGAATTAAAAAAGCATTTTAACTATATAAACTTGTATTGAACTATAACTATAACCTATTTAAAATTAGATGAGAGTTGAACTAGAAAGGAATTGGAATTAAAATTAGAAGTTCGCCAGAATAAGATGTAAAACGCTTGAGCTACAAGATGCACAAGTCGAGGAGGCATCGAAATTACAAAGCCGAAGCAAAAGCAACAAGCATTGAGTTAGAACTACAGCTTACACAGGTTCATAACAATTTCATGTAAAGTGGAAGGTATCAATACAGCTTCATGTCAAGCTGATTGGACATGCAATTGGCAACCACATTGATACCAATCAGAAGTTAATGCACAGACTTGTAGATGGAGATTTCGACAAGGACAAAGGGAGTGGTGGGCTCAAACGCTTTCATTGTAAGAGCAAAGAACATATGCCTTTAGGTGAGACTTAGGCTCACATACTTGAAGGTTGAACGAAATAGTATGAACATAGATTGACCTAAATAGGAAAACCAAAAAAAAACAAACAACCGTGAGAAAACCAATAACAACCTAGGAAACGCCAAAAACCTTGGGAAAACCAACAAAAAAACGAACCAAAAAAAGCGAAAGAACCAAAAAAACAACAACACACAATTCTGGGGAAGTCTTGAGGAAAGGGGGGGTCCAGCCAAGAGTCTCTGAGAATTATTTTTTTTGGTCCTTTTGTTTCTTTTTTGTTTTTTTTTGGGGTTCCCAAGGTTTTTGGCTTTTCCTAGGTTGTTATTGGTTTTCTCATGTTTTCTCTATATTTTCTCGAGACTGTTTGTGTTTGTTTTCCAGTGCAAAGGACATTGAGGCAGCTTTCACACACACACATAGCATGAATGCAGGCCACAGTGGGAAGTTTATAGCACATAGATGGAAGTAGGCAGCAAGAACACATAAGATGCGCACTCTGGTGGTCCCCTGTTCTGTTTTTACAACCGCGACCGACCCAAACCAACACCAACCGCAGTGTTCAATTCCAGCCCCTGCATTGGATATTTTTACAGGAACACCATACACCAACATGATCTCATTTTTGCGAGAGGAAAAAGGTGACAGGATCTTCAGTTTCACACTTTGTGAGAAGGAACATCCGGGGAATCTCAGATCTCAGAAGCATCCTGAAACACAAGAATCATCACTGTCTAGGTCACCTCGCTGAAGATATTCTTCTCTCCAGGGACCACGCCAATGTGAGGGATCTTCTGGTGCCAGGAGCAATTCGGAGACAATGCAACGCCGCATTTGTCAACGTTTTTCCCGTCCAAGACGTGACCTGCGACGGGAAAGGTTGGCAATCAAACAGGCAACTGTATATACTATTAGTAATATGTTTGAGGGGCATTTTGGTCTCACGCACATCTTTTCATCTGTTTCTTCTCTGTTCTGTTTCCCTTCAATTTGCTTAGGTTTTTCCCTTTCTTTTCTGGTGGCCGGCTTGATAGAATTGTGGAGAAGAGTTTGTTGGAGCTAGCCTGTGATGAGTTGTCATTTCTTGTCATCCATCTTCTCACCCGCTAGAACTTCAGGTTCAGGAAGTACTGTATGCGTGAAACTATTGGCGGTGCGTATGACATTGAGGAGCGTGCGTTACCATGCCTGACTGCCTTATCCCTTTAGGACTACAAAATGTAAAGGAGACATAGTGTCTGCAGAAACATGCCAGTTCTATTACTATTGGCATCAACTACACGGAAAAGAAGGTGCAAACAAAAGAGAGAAACGATAGATAAAGATAGCGAGAGAAAGAGGGGGACCTAAGACCAAACAACTTGAACGCCTGAGAAGCGGCAGTTCAAGCCCGCCGGACACACTCCCAGCGCCTGGTCGAGCCGGTGCAGTCAGTGACTAAAGAAGCTACTGTAAGCTCGACTAGAGTGACTCTTCTATACACAGCAGTGTGTCTGTGCTTCCTAATTAGATAGATTGAACACCTCCTTTGCACATGCATTCTTAGAAACACACAACGTACCTCAAGCACGGGGCACTCATCCGCAATGTTTGGGAGCTTTGTCTCTGCAAAAGCTTCCCGATCATGGTTCTGTGAACACCTGCATACATTGATGCACTGTGACTTTCATCGAAATCAAGCAAATCAGCAGCAAAAGAACAACAAGTTACAAGTTGGCACCTAGGCTCACCAAGGCTACCATCACATTCGTTAAGATATGCCAAGCGTGGGCACAGCTGCAGCGCCGCCACCTGCAGCAGTGGCACGAGATTGAACAAAAAAAACTGATCGCAGAATCCAGTTTGGGCCTTCTTCATGGCAGCTACATTCTCACGCCGCTCCTGCAAGAAGGGACAACAAGCGGTCATTCTGGGGCGACATGAAGGGCAACAAGTCCTTGTTCTTGTTCATACCTCTGTTCGGCTTCTGCTTTTTGGTCGGAGGCTCTGAACTGCACTGTGCATCAGAACTTGTCGCTGGAGTCTTAGCCACCAAGAAGTCCGGATGGATGGGAGCCTGCACACCCGATATCACCGGCCGGAGAGTCAAAGTGAGCACACCCTCAATGTGCCTCACATCGAGCAACGGCTTGAGCAATCCGTTGTTTCTTTGTTTCTTCGTCCTGCAAGTACTATCACAAACAACGGCCCAACCCAAACACCCTTGCTCTACTGACGACAAACTCCTCCGCATTGTCACTGGCTACGCCAGTCCCCTCTACCATTGCGACTGAACAAAGGATGAATGCAACTTCAAGCTGGTCAGCTGTTCCCCTGGGTAGGACATGAAACGTGGTGATCAAGAAACTCCCTTCCACATTGACCCCCAACAAACATATACAGTATATTACAGTATATATCCATGATCTTTGCTCAACTGCGTGATGAGGAACAACAGCTCTTTGCTTGTGGCGTCAGAGTGTTTGCTGAGGCATGCAAATGTGCGTAGCCAAAATCTTTCAGCCAAGAGTAACAGACAAGAGAGCATGGCTCAGTGCAGAAGAGCACTCAAAGCAAGATGATATTACAATGTACCACAAACTCTGGCTCTGCTACAACCTTCCCTGACAACTCCTGGAAGAAGGTGGTTAGAAGAAGTAACGTGAATGTTTGACACATCTGAAGGACAAACTCAGCTGAGGTGAGGTGATCGTCTTGCTTGTACTTCCAGTCGATCTCCTTTTCTCAATGTGACACCAGTGAAACTGACAGTGAGACCGAATTAAAACTTTCATGCCTTGGCTGCGAAACAAACATGCAATGTCACGCAGGAGTGAGACACCGGGTGGTCAGCCCGACGATGATTGTCATCCCGAGTCATCCTGCGTTCCAACCCCACACTAAGAGTCGGGTTCTTCCTCCGTGGCAATCAATGACTGCGTGGCATTCACTAGATTCTCGTAGCGCTCTTGCATCATAGTCTTGGCTTCTTCAAGCTTTTTCAGCTCTGTCTCACGTTTCATGATGTACCATGCTAGGCTTTCTTGATCACGATGCACCACTTTAAGTGACCGCAATTCCCCTTTGCTCAAGTCCAATTTTACCTTCTCTGCTTTCTTGGCCAAATTGAAGGCTTTCTCGGTTATTGATGTCTCGGCCTCCTCTTGTATGTGGTCAATGTCAAACTGCTGGTTGTTATGCTTCTCCACCTCCTCACGTAGCCGGCTGTTCTGCTGAATGAATCTGAAGATCTCTTTGGCCTTGTCCACAGCCCATTGCCGGGTCTCATCTGGTAGGAACTTCCAGTTTGGTTCCACAACCAAATCGGCAGTGATGAAAGAATCGTCCAACAACGGCGAATCAGTTGACATGGGGGTGTCTACCCCTCTGCCGGACTTTGGAGTGCTCAAGACTTCCAAATCTTCACCTGCCAGGCTCTCTATTCCTGCATCGGTTTCTTCCTCCAGCTTCTCAGTTCCATCCTTGTAGCTCCAAACACCGACAAGACTTTTGGCTGCCAATTTCGCTGCTGCCATCAGGCTCAGTCGAGAGGCCTCCTGACTTTCCTGTCGTTGCTCACTTTGCTCACTTTGCTCCTTGTATTCGTTGTCTTCTCTCTGAAAGTGCTTTGCGACAATGGCAAAGAACATGTTCACAAGAACATACCTGAAGAGCACCATGTAGGTGTACCAGTAAAAATAGTAAGCAAAGCTGTTGGCCTGTCTCATGGCTGCAAAGCTTCGGAACGTACCTAGAAACATCTGAAAGCAAGTGATCAAGGAGTAGCCCAAGGTGGAAAAGTCGATCATCAACGTACCGAAAATGGTGTGCCCCATGGAGACATAGCCCATCAGCAGCACGACCATCACTACGAAGAAGCAAAGGATGTCGGCAAAGCCACTTAGCATTGCCTTGGCAATGATCCTGCCTGTGGGAAAGGCCGACAAGTACTTCTGGTAGCCCAGAAAGAGGAAAATGGTGTTTGCAGCCTCAGTGGGCAGTGGCTTTGACACAGCAAACGCTGATGTTTTGGTTGCAAACTCTACTAGAAGCATCTACAAACCAGCATGCTGCAGGTGCAGTCATGAAAAGGAAACAAACTCTACAAAGGACCTAGTGGCGCAAACCTGTGTGAAGAACTTCATTTGCTGGCTTGCCCTTGCGAACTTGGAAATGGCAGCAGCATCACTGCATATGCCGGTGAGTGCGCACTGTGCCGGTGTCCAGTTAGGCGTTTCAGCAAAGTAGAAACTCTGCGAAAGATCTAGCAGGACAAAGGAGTACCACATGACAAGGGTCACAATCGTGGTAATGCCGCTCAAAAAGTCAAAGAGAATGGAAGGTTGCTGCAGGATGTGGTAGACCAAGACCTGTATCACCACAATGAGTCGGTGGCCGAAAGCCTTTGCTTGGCCTTTGTTGCCTTTGTTGATACCAGCCAGGGCCACCCTGTAGATGGCTCGCATGCATTTTGACAGCCGCCCCACTGTGAAAAGAATGATGACGATCTCAAGAATCAACCGAATTGGAAAGAAGCTCGAAGACAAATCTGGAAGTTTTATGGGATTGACATTGATCGCCTTGTCAATGTAGCCACTCGTGGTGAAATCAAACACGATGGCAACATAGAAGAACATGTCAAGGAAGCCATTGTATGCAACAAAATCCAACTTCACTTCTCTTGTCTGATTTGTCGCAATACCATTCAAGCGCATCTCCAGCAATGCCGGGATGGTGACTGCTGGGTCTACACTCAACATACAGCTGAAGCCTTTTTCTTCTACACTGTAGTTGCCACAGTAACGGTGCAGCACCTGCTGAGCCCTTTGGTCCTTCAAGCCCTCCTTGGTCGTCACCGGCGAATCGGGCGAATCGGGTTGGCGGACGAGCTGAGGAACAGGAAGCCGGGAAGTGACGCTGTTGTTGGAGACTTGGGATAGATGATCATACGAAAGCGACAAGCGGACAGGCGTCTGCCCCATCAAAATGTTCCAGTCATTGATTACCACCTGCTTGTACTCTGGAGCGGCTGGATAGTTTGACAAGACATTGCCGCTTTCAGAAGAGTTGTACAAGGCCTTCGGCAATGAGACCGCCAGCCATCGAAGAACATCTTCCCTGGTCTCGATGCGATCAAAATCGAGATCGTAGTTGATCTCTCGGGACAAAGGATTGCCTTTGGGGCCCAAGGTGGGTCTCTGCAAAGCTGAAGTCAAAGATTCAATGACATCATGCCCTTCTGGTACCCAAAGCACCGCCGAGACAAAGATCACATAGATAGCACAGTAGAATGTGAATGGGATGAGCCCCAACTTGTGGGTTGGGTAAGGCTGCATCCCACCTGCGCTTTTGAGATCTCGAGCTCTGACGTTGAGGTGAAAAGCCTTTTTGACCCAAGCCACCTGACTGGAAAACTCAGCATCTTCTCAAAAAGGCCTACTTCATCAATATCCTATCCTTTTAGTTTAGGCTGTGCGGTTTTTATATGTTTTTGTGACTCCAATAAACAGATTTGTGCAAACCCGGCCTGCAATTTCAAGAAAGATGCCACTTCGTCAGTCGCTATGAACTGTGCCTTTTGCCGGTCTTCAAAACTTCTACTCGCGTCATCGAAGGATGTCAACACAATAGCCCTGCTGAGGTACTGCAAAATGAAGAAGAACAGAACCATGAAGAAAAGGTAGAAGAAGAATCCCGTGATCGGAAACGCAACTCGCAAGTCTTCCACAACATCAAGTCGTCCAAAAAGCATTTCAGTCAACGAGATAGCGGAGACTGGAATGCTATTGAAGTCCTTCACCGATTTGCCAAATAACAAATTGCACCAAATCACAAAGGCGAAGAACACATCACAAAGGATGATCACCAGGAAGAAGACCGGGGTAATAGAGCGGCTCACTGTGTGGACCAGCACGGAGATCCGAGGCACTAAGTCAGACAAATATTGGACCAAGGCTCCGAAAAGGAAAACCATCATGAAGCACGAGGCCAAAAGGAAATTGCTCCAGGCCACAGCCTCGCGAGGTTCTACCAGGTTGTGAACGCAGCACATGTGGCACATGTACATGAATTGTACATGTCAAAATTATAATGTGTGAATGTACATTTTATGAATTCAGGAGCATGACGTGCGGTTGATGCGGGGAGTTGGGGGTAATGAGATTCGGGTTGGATCATAAACGCCAACATTTCATCTTCATTTCATGACCCTCTGAAAAATTTCTCGCTCACAACATGCACATCTTCGAACAAAACTGATGTGCCAAAACGCAGGCGCTCGCTTGGGCGGCGTCACCATGTGTTTGCCTGGGGGCGGAACGCTGTGCGTGTGGTCCTGTGCATTTCAAGTTTTTCACTTTATATATCACCATTGTCGACTACTGTATAGTTTTCGTTGCCATCTTCCTGACAACATCATAATCTCTACGACAATGGTGGCATCTTACCACCCATAGAGCTAAGCTCCCTTTTTCACGCTGGCGCTGAAATCTGCGTTGCTTCAAGCTCCACCATTGCCAAATCTTTCCTCGTTGCCTGGCGCGGTGGTGATGCACTTCAAGCAGGTGACCGTTGTCAAGTCGGTACCAAAGGCGAAGTTCGATGCACCGTACGGCCAGCCACGTTTGGTGTGCCAACTCATCGCAGGCGAAGCAATAGGTTTGCCTCTTGTTTTCGTGGATGGTCCCGTTCTTCGAGATCACGGTGGGTGGTAGGAGCCCTTGATGCTTCGCCGACATTTTCTCCCACCTCTCCAAGGAGTCTTCCAATTTATCCTGCGCTGCCTTCAACTTCTCCACCTCGCCTTTGAGTCGCGACTCCATTTCTTTGGTTATTTCCTTCACCTTCGTCTCGTCCAAAGTCTTTATCTCCCTGACTTGCTCCTTCTGCAAGGTCGGTTGAAGCATGGCGTTCTGTCTGTTCATCACCGGCGTGCTTTCCAAGGCTTCTTCTGCGTATTCCAGGATGACGTTGGACTTCCATCTTCCCAGATAGGCCACTTGTGGTACATGCCGTCCTTTGCGAATATATTGCAAAGCCCCGGACCTTCTCCCTGAGTGGCCGGAGATTTTCTTTCCAAACACTTCCTCCAGGCTTCCATGATCTGCCCTTTTGTCACTTCTTCTTCTTTGTCTCCGTGTACCATCTTGTCCTCCTCAATGGGCATGTTGTCCAATGCTGCTTTGGTTATCATGAAGGGGCACGCTTCTTTCCATCCGCGCTCTTCACGACAGCAGCATTGTAAAGTGCGTCTCAAGCCTTTTCCTTCCTGATCTGTCTTGGTGAGTCTGAGGGTCAAAGCCACCAACTTCTCCTTCTCGTCAATGAGGATGTCTTCCTTGTGAATGGCCGCCAGTTCCACCTCCCTCAGCATCCATACAGTGGCTACCGCGAACATCAACGCCGGTTTGTGCACTATGCCCTTCGCCATGTCGTTGGTCTCAACGCGGCAGGCTTCCAGCCACTTGGTCTCGTCCACCTCTGCTGCTTTCTTAGCGGGCCCCTTTGCTCGATTCAGCGCTCTCACCACTTGCCCAAACGTCTTCTGCAGAAGGTGTGACCACTGAACTCCCGCCTCGATCAGCATGTGTTTGTACTCAGCCAAGTAGGCCACTCCAGCACGGTAATCCGAGTCCTTCAGCACCATGCCAACTTGTTCCATTGCGTTGCGCGACCAACAATCTTCTTTTCCTTTAAGCCCCAAGTTCTCCAGGATCTTCTCCACAGTTTTCCTGATTGAAGCCCTGGCTTTCCTCGAGGAGTTCGCGTAGTAGCCCTCCTTGAATTTTGCCATAGCTGAATCCTTCTTGTTCCTGTTCATCTTGAAGATCCTGGCCGTCTGTATGGCTGTTTTCCATTTGTGTTTCTGAGTCTTCTCTTCTCCATGAGCGCTCGATCGTGCGTGGCAGGTCGGCCCTACGTCCATTCTTTCTCCTTCTCAACAGCTTTCTCCCCCCTTCGTCTCCTTGAAGTGGTCCATCTCCCTTATCCCTTCCACAACGAGGGTGAGCTTCTTCTCCCTTCGCCTCTGCACCTTGTCCGGCTTCCTCTCGGTCCCCTTCTTCAAGAAGAGAAGTAGTCTCTGCTTCTGAGCTTCCACTTCCACACTGAGCTCATCTCCAACCCTGGTGGCCATCAAGGGAATTCAAACCGTTGTGTCTCCGTTTCCTCCTTCTCCACCTCGATCTTCTCCACGTTCATAGCTCCCAATTGTCCTTGCAAGGTGTTGAGCTTCTTGTCACCAACCACAACATGTCCCCCGACTCCCTCACGGACTCCCTGAGAGTGCGTGGTGGTGAAGCCGATTCTGTAGTCCAGGAAGGAGGAGGAAGGCAGTAGTGCTGTTCCCGTTGTTCCTGCGTCGAACCATTGTCTCCAATTCCGGCAAGTCGTTGATGGGTGGGGTCATCGAATGGTCCATCGCTTGGTCCATGTCCTAAGGCTCCACCCAATCTTCTTCCTCTGAGGCTTCTCCATCCGGAATTCGATCTTCACCATTGCCTCCATGGGAAAATGCGAGGAAGTCGCAGTTCCTCCAACCAACCTCCCAAAACCTTCATGCCGTATGGAGGCAGACCCCGAGGTGGCATAGGATCCCGGCTCCGGCGAGGTAGAAAACTAAGCAAGCTAGCCATGATGATGCCCACTCAACCTTCGCATCCACGAGTGGGAATTCGCGGGATGTCAGGGCGACCTCCATTTTGAGCTGGCTGGAAAAAGTACCGGCGACGAACGAACCGAGATTTCATGAGAGCAAAAGCATTATATTATAGAATTACTTATGGCAATTTTCTTATATATTTCTTTATTGAAAATTGCCATCTCTTATTTTAATGTTAATTTCCTCCACATGTGTTCCCATTTCCCACTTTAATTTTAAATTGTGGGAAAGGTCAAATGCTAGTGTATCTTTATTTTAAAGTTGCTATTAAGAATATAAAAAATGGGGCTTCTATAATATAAAAAGTGAGGTAGCAATTGACCTTGAAATCTAATAGTAATAAAAGATTTCAATCATGCAAAGTAAATATTAATTATAATCATATGGGCTATTGCCAATTAAGAAAAGAAATGAATAATATTAATGATGGCAATAGCCCAGAAATAATAAAGAAAATAAGAAATAATAGAATGCAGCATTAAAATAATATAGCTGCAAAATAATAATATAGCCACCAAAAGGAAAAATAGGTGGCATATAAATGAACTAAGAAATAGAATTATTCACGTTGCTCTTTATTTATTATCCTCTGCTTTTTTTAGTTCATGAAGGTTACAAGAGCCCAAAATAAATAAAGAGCAATAATAATAAGAGATGTAAGAGATAATTTCTATTCTATCATAAAGGCAACCGTTGAATTATAAGTGAAGGATAAATATATTAAAATAACGGTTGCCGATAATAAACATAAATAATAATATAATTTAAATAATCGGTTGACCACATAATAGAAATAAATATAATATAAATTGGTGGTCAACCTATAAAGATAAAGAGATAAATATTAATAGAAATCTCTAATTAAATTAATGCTGTTTGCGGTTAAAGGAGCCAAAAAAAGGAGAGTTTATTATTAATTAGAGATTTCTCCCATGATTTTTATTCTCTAATATTAATATAAATTATTGAGTTGTTAAAATTATAATGCTGTAGGATAAGAAAATGATAATAAAGCATAAATAAAATAACACTTAATAAAAATCATAGGCTGTAGGTTTAAATTATGATGGTGATCACTGTCAACTAATGAATGAAGATAAAGCGTTAGAATGAAGAGGTTATAATTTCCTCGTTTATATGGTTGCTCCCAGCGTATGAATGTAAATGATAGATGAAAAGAAGAATACCAAAATAAATGATATGATGAGAGTAAAATAAATGTGCTCTTGTATCTTTAAAGATTAATGGAAATAAGAAATGGAAGATAAAAATATGAATAAATGAATTAATGAAAACAAGAACTTATATGAATGAAGATAACATATATTTTACCAAAGGCTGCTACCAAGATTATAACATATATTTCTTTAATGGCAATAACAGTTAATAAATAATGGAAGAATATGAATTTCCTTATTATTTATTGGCAAATATATGAATTTCTATAATATATAACCTCGCTTTTTAAGATTATATCTCTTTCTTTTTGGAAACCCTTACCTTCGGTTTCACAACACCTACCGACCAACACCTCCCCTCCCTGTCCTTCTGCATCCTTTTGAGCGGGCCTGTGTGGCTTCCGTGTAAACGGTTTGCCCAGGCGGCCAACAAAGCTTCTGAACCTTGCCAGTCTGCTTCGTCTCGTCCCGGAGGAGTGGGTCGGTACCAGTCAGTCGTCTGCTCAGCAGGCGTTTCGATCTGAATCCCTTCCAGGGCTTCTGGCAGTGGGGTTATCGCCCAGCAGTCCGGCCGCGAAAGAAAGTCGGCCTCCTTGTTGGCTGTCGCCGGCAAGTGAATGGGCCGCAGATCAGAGAGGCCCAAGGACTCGCGCACTATACCGCCAGTTCTTGTGCCGGGAAGTCGAGGGGCGGGCTGGAATTGGAGAACCTCTGTGTCATGGCCAGCGCCGTCACGCTGTCCGACTGAACGTTCACGGCGACGCTGACCGTGGTCAGAAGTTTCCCCCAGTGCTTGAGGGCTGTAAGGATGGCCAATGTTTCAACCAGTCCTTGCGAACTGGATTCGCCCAGCTCGAAAGTTGAGGACACCCACTGGCGATGCTAAAGCCTTCGTCGCCCTGCCGTTCACAATGAGGATGGCGCCCAGGCCTTGTGGTGAGGCGTCGGTCATGATGGACACCTCAACTTTGCCACTCTTGTATATTCATGGACGAATTGCAGAAGCAGCTCCAGGCATGGGAAGGAAAGGGCATGATAGGGCGATATACACTGAGCAGCCCCCCAAGTTAAAGAAGTTAAAAACTTCGTCAACATAGGTTATAACTAGGGATAACATATGTTATAACCTATGCTAAGTTCGATAAGTTCCTTGGAAGTTATAACACAAATATAAGTAAG